GGCCGCTGCGGTCCTAAAGTCCACCAAGTAGGGCACGTCCGCAGCCCCGCTCCCCCGCTTGGCTACGGGTTCGCCCTGCCCCCGGGCAGCCGTCAGGCCAGCGTGCCCTGCGCTCTCCGCCCGCCTCTGACCCTGCAAGCCCTCTACCTTGGGGCTGAGAGTGCAGGGACGGACTCCGCAGCTGCTGAGATCAGGGACGGACTCCGCAGCTGCTGAGATCAGGGACGGACTCCGCAGCTGCTGAGATCAGGGACGGACTCCGCAGCTGCTGAGATCAGGGACTGCCTTTGAACCAGACCTAGCCTATGTGCTGCAGTCCAGATCTCAGTTTCACCCTTCACATTAGTGTAGGCAAGTTTTTTTTTTCAATTGAGATGAATACATTGTAAAATCTCAGTTAATGTCAGTTGGTCTAAATCAGTTATAAATATATTTGGACACAACGGCTACGTCTACACTGGCCCCTTTTCCGGAAGGGGCATGTAAATTTCACCTTTCGTAGTAGGGAAATCCGCGGGGGATATTTAAAGTAGGAATAAGAGCCTCCGGAAAAGGGCACTTTTTCCGGAGGATCGGGGCCAGTGTAGACGCTCTTTTCCGGCTTTTTTAAAAGCCGGAAAAAAGCAGCGGACATTTTTATTTAAATGCCGCGGGGGATATTTAAATCCCCCGCGGATTTCCCTACTACGATAGGTGAAATTTACATGCCCCTTCCGGAAAAGGGGCCAGTGTAGACGAGCCCAACATGTATAGTTGGTGTTATGTCGTTTGCCGTTTGCAATAAACTTTGCATAAACTAGTTAATTTGCGTTTAATTTTAATGGTTCAAAGAATGTCAGGCAAAATGGTCGGCCCTCACGCATGTTCACTTCATCAAATCTGGCCCTCTTTGAAAAAAGTTTGGACACCCCTGGCTTAGAGCTTGTAGTGGGTGGGAGCGGCCACCCACTGACCCTGAGGGGAGCCCCCTTCATTCCCCGAGGAGCACCCCAACGGGTTAGACGACCAACAATAACCCTGCTTTTAGGGAAGTAAAAGTAACAAAAACAGCAAAAGCAACAAAGTGCTGATAACCCCAAATGAGAAGCAGTTAAACGAAAAATACAACACCTGAAAAGGCAGAATGAGACCTCAAAAGCTAACGTCAGCAGAGTCATGTGAGAGGAAAAATACTGAAACAGGGTATAAAAGGTTGAACTAAATAGACCAAAAGCGGAAGGGTTGCAAATCCAAACAAGCCAGGTCTGATCAACCAGGGCTCGCTCCCCGGTGCCGAATCTCGTTGCTGCTCGTAAGCTCCGAAAGGGCAACACCAGTCATAAGTTGCAACGAAAAATCCAAAAGGAAAGACAAAAAAAAGAATATCTCCTGAATCTAAATAGTGCTTCTATTCATCTAAATGTGAGTATTATATAGGTATGTCTGATAACTTCACAAACTGTTCAAAGGTAACTTTGGAGGGTATAGCTGTAGGAGGGGTCATTGTTCTTGTTTTATTTGTACTGTTTTTTCTAGTCTTTATTTGCATGTTATGCTGTCTTAAAAGAATTAAAGATAGCGAATTGATTTAAATGAAAAATTAATTATAAAAGTAAATACAAATAAATTCTTTGGTTAACCCTAAAAAGTATTCCTCTGTATGTGGTTTCAAATCCTTTAAAGAACCAATCATTGGTTACCGAAATGGCATCACAAACAGGATTTGACGAGAACAGAGGGTGCCCCTTTGATGGGTTAAACAAGATAGAAGGTGCAGGACCTCTCAACCACTGGTTATATCATAATAAGGAAGAGGGTGAAGAATACATGCTCAAAATAGGAGCAGTGCTAGCAATCAAGAATCAAACTGAAAGGAATGTGGACAAATCACCCATAACAACTGTGGACGTATTAAATTATTTGGATGGAACAATTGATAAGGGTATAGAAAGTGCAATAGGATGGGGAGCAAGTGTTTGGAACTTTTTATCCACGTTGATATCAGGGAAATAGTTTTGAATTGTTTTTGCAATAATGGTGTTAATAATTGTGATAAGAATTATCGCCCAAATTTGCATCAGTGATCAGAGTACACTCCATTTGGACCCCACTGAAGATTCACACTGTGGACAGACTGCTGAACAGGAGTCACTTTTCTGTCTCACCATGCCTGTCATTAAATGGGTCTAGAAATACTTACCCACTTCGCAAAAGTGTTTGTGGACTTGCTATCTACAAAATGCCTTGAAACCTTTTCGTGAATAATGCTACAGAAATGCAAAGATTTCTACTATTCCATTCCATTTTAAAGAGCCTTCTACCACCTTCACTGTATTACTTGAGGGCCTTCTAGTGGTGCAACAAGGGACATAACTAACATCTGTCTCAGGTGGCTAATTCTCACTGTGGTGGTATTGTGTGTGCAAGGTAGGGTTTTGCTTTGGGTGAGGGAGAGGAGCTGTTTGTTTAAACTTTAAAGTAAGTACATGCTGCCCCGGGTTGTATTAGAGAAGGCAGGCCAACAACATGTACATGGAATTTGGAATGGCAGTGAGTTTCATTCCATACCAGCCCCCAAGATGAGCTTTACTCTAATGGTAGGAAGTTCCACTGTGACTAAGGAGAGACATTGTGGAGCATAGTCCTTAGCCCTAGATATGCTGGGTCTATCATTATACTTATATTCTTATACCAACATTAAAATACTGCATTTTGGCTACCATGTGTGAAAGCCATGAAGCTCTGGCAAGCATACCAGAAGGAAGGGAAGTTAACAATTGCTCTGGGGCAGAGCTGCAAACCTGACACTTCCACAAAAAGCTGCATGTCATCCTCAGATGAGACATCACCTCCAAGGATCCCAAGGACATTTTGGGGAATTATGATTTGGTGGCTTCCTGCCATGAATGGATGAGAAGGATTATGGGGGACAGTTGACCAGAACATGTTTTTAACACAGCCCAGACAGTATCTATAGTGCAGTAGGAATGAGCCTAATGCAGAAGAAGCAACCTCCAGAAAGTATGCAGTTTGCTTTGAAATTACAAGGATGCAACTCTCAAAATAGCAAGACACATTTGTTGATTTACACTTTTTTTACTTATGCTAGAAGAGATGTTGAAATAAGCAATAGTGGTCACTATCTGCTTCTCATCCCCCCTGTAGAGTTAGGCTTAGGAACACTCTGTCTCTGTGTACCAGGTTGGTCCATGAAACTTCTGTAGATGTCAATGATCATGGTGGAGGTAGCTCACAATTCTCTGGCTAAGGTTTCTGGGGGGGAGGGCGTGATGGGACGCACTCTCCCCACACTGAGCAGGAGGGAATTAATCAATCCTGGGGAGCTGGGGATGCCACATCCCCTTTGCCTTACTGGGCATGCTTGAGCTGAACAGCTATAAAAGAGAGCAGCTCGACTCAGTTGGCATGGGTAACTGGAGGGAGAGGATGTGCATTGCCAGCCTCAGGCAAACTGCAGCAACTACCCAACCGCTGAGACGCTAATACGCAAGCAGGAGCCCAGATGCTCCTAGAAACCTCATGGGTTCCAGAGCCAAGCAGGAGCAGACAGAGCCCAGATAAAGGGGGGGAGATGGAGATCTGTGATGGAGTTGAAACAACTGTAGCGGGAAGCAGCCCAGGAAAGGCAGCAGCTAGATGGTGAGTGGGCCGAAGCCGAGGAGTCAGCATGTTTCAGACAGAGCTTTTCCTCACTGACTTAGCAGCTAGAGCTACAGCCACTAACAGGTCCCTGGGCAGAGGTCCAGTGGAGCAGGAGAGCCTGGATGCCCCTACCAGGGGACGTAAACCCTTCCCTTATCTCCCATCCCTTGAGAGGGGAATATACACGTGCACACACAAATAGGGGCGAGTTATTGACTCAGGCTATTGAACTGCACTGCCCTGCAAATAGGGGCAAGTTACAGACTGTGGCCATTGGGTCACACTGCCCCACAAGTTGCAGCAAGTTATGGACTTGGGCCATTGGGCCACCTCGCCCCAGGGACTAGAGGGAGAGGTTCTTACAGACTTTGGTGGGTGCAGTTATAGACATGGACTGGGGAGCAAAAGCAGAGAATTTACAAAAGTGCCAGGAGTAAGAAGGGGCCCTCATCCCATGCTTTGTGGGGTTCTCTCCCCACCCACATCACAGGAGGGCTGCCTTATTTATTCTATCGCATCAGGATGCTTTCCCAAACCACTGAGTAATTACTTGGACAGGAGCCATTGCAACACCAGACCCCCTTTTTTTCCAAAAAAAATATTTTTTCCCTTAAGATATTTTTGTTAATTTTGGTTTTTAATGGGCTCTAAATTTTGAGCATATAAGGACTTGCAAAATTGCCAGTCGCAATTATGAAAATCATTAGTTAAAACCTCCAAAACCATGAGATTTTTAAAAAATAATATATTTTGGGTTCAGTTTATTTGTTCTCTGGTCATCGAATCTTTAGCGTTCATGATCTCAAGATTTTTTTCTATGACCATTAGAAGCTTTTTTGGTTTTAGTAAAATATGAGATTCTCACGTACTCACCTGACTCCAAAAGCTGGAACTTTAAGAAAAATAGTTGGCAACTGTGGGGCAAACCTAGTTCCACTCAAACCCATTTTTTTCAATGGGAGTAGCAACAGGCAGTGAATGAACAACTTTGTTCAGTAAAGCTCATGTAAAAATGAGATGTGTCCTTAATGTTGCTCTGTATATAGCGCCATGCTAATATTTTAGTTTTATAAAGTTAGTTGCATTGGAAAAGAGCCACATTTAGATACAAGGCATTTACTCTTCTCCTTCAGACCTCACATAGCTCCAAGAGGCTTCTAGTCAACCTTCCTGCATGTGCATCTCAGCTTACTCAGCGCATTCACTCACTTCTTAAGCTTTAGCAGCCCAGGCTGTTGTACGTGCGGAATGCTTTACCTGCACATCAGTTCACATGAGCATATCTACTGGATGAGCTTCACAGGTTGGCTGTGCAAGCCTGACAACTTTAGTTTGACACTGTAGTTATCCTTCTGCTAGGCAGGCTGCCTACCAAGGCTAATGAGCTGCACCTGCCTCAGAGTTATTTTAAGGCAGACTTTACTTACCTTCACATTCTCATCACAGGCCCCAAGTGGTATCTCATAGAGGAAGCCATTTCCCCCATCTACCTCCCTACACTGCTGAGAGAGGTCACCAGCTAGTCCAGGACATTCCTCTCTCCACTACCTAGGGAGTCCTTGACAGGAGTTGGTGGTCAAACAGGATGCATTCAGTTCATGAAGTCTGAATTTGGCCCAGACATTTTCCATTTCTTGCTAAGTAAGAATAAGTCACAGCAAACTCAAAAGGATCTGAGTCTCTTCCAAAACTGGTTTTACACTACTGCTTTCCTTTGACTTCAGTGGAATTGTTTGTGGTGCACTTCACACTAGGACAAGAAACAAATCAGATCATCATAATTTCCAAGAGACAAAACAATTTCACATTGTAGTTCTACTAGGGGCCACTGGGTGGCACCATTCTAACAGGTCATCTTACTTCAGGCATGTCCAAAGTCCGGCCCGGGGGCCAATTGCGGCCCGTGTTCTGGTTTAATACGGCCCCACAGGTAATTTGGCAATGTCTATCTTTTATGGCCCCCAACGAATCCATATGTATTGAGATGAATACATTGTAAAATCTCAGTTAATGTCAGTTGGTCTAAATCAGTTATAAATATATTTGGACACAACATGTATACTTGGTGTTATGTTCCTGTTCATATTTTTTGAACTTAAAAATTGACAGACAACCTTTACCACCATATGTAATGTACTTTACAATGTTCCTGACATATATTTCAGCTTCCTGGATTTTTTTTTCATCTGGCCTTCAGATATGAAAGGCAGAGTGATTTAACACCTGTTTAGATTTGTCATCCATGTGACGAAATGAAAAGTATGCCGTTTGCAATAAACTTTGCATAAAATAGTTAATTTGCGTTTAATTTTAATGGTTCAAAGAATGTCAGGCAAAATGGTCGGCCCTCACGCATGTTCACTTCATAAAATCTGGCCCCCTCTGAAAAAAGTTTGGTCACCCCTGTCATAGACTAACAAAACCAGAGCCAGCCGGCTGACCAGGCGATAGCCTGGGGCCCCCGATTGTAAGGGGCACCACACGGTGCTGCCAGGCCAGGCGGGCCTGGGCATGCACCGCACACCCGGGGCGTAAGAATGGCTTGGGCCGGCTCTGAACAAAACTTGTAGATGGTATCGTGAGCTTTCGTGATATCAGCACTGATGTGTGATGACCAGAGTTTTTAGTTTAGGATGTACATCAGAAGAAGTGGGCTGTGCCCACGAAAGGTCATGATACCATCTACATGTTTTGTTAGTCTATAAAGTGCTACCAGACCATTTATTGTTTTTTAAGTTTATCCTGTACAGACTAACTTG